CGTCAACTTTCCTGCTCCTCTGATGCTGCCTGGCCTGCTGTGTTCCTCCAGCTCCACAATTTGTTATCTCTGACTCCAGCATCTGCAGTTCTTGCTATCTCATGGCGAACCTGTGTTTTGTTTTACTTAAAATACCGAAGGAAGCAAATGGCCATAATACTGAAGCTTGAATATTATAGTTTAGATTAAAAGGAGGAAGCTTACAGGTCAATTAACTGAATGGAACAAATTCAAAGTAATTTTGACAGACATGAAATAATACTGCACAGATTTGTATGCAAAGTAGATAACAAAATGTCTTGTTTCTGTGATGTAAATAACATATAAATTCAAGAACTTGCAAATCAGTTACTGATTCACCCTAAACAGGAGTACTCAATTAGAACTGCTAACGGCACTACTTGGTACTGCATAACCGGCTCAACTGTTGATTGACTGAGCACAGACCTGAAACATCAACTCGTTCTGTCTACACAGATGCTGCCTGACTTCTAAGCATTTCAAGTATTTGCAATTTTTGATTCAGATTTCCAACATCTGTTTTTTGTTGGTGTTCACTGAGATTGACAATTTAATCCAGATAGTTTTGAAATGCTAATGTTGATTATTTCATCTGTCTGTTCATTTGCTGTTGTAAGATCAGCTGGTCGCAGTTCACAACCTCCACAGAGAAGCTGGTGGTCAAGATTAAAATCTTTAAAATTCCAACAACTTATGGTAAACTCCCAAAAGAACCACGATTAGATCCAACTTGTGTACTGTAAACAGTTCTGGTCTCCATGTAATAAAAAAGATAGAGATGCTGGAGAAGAAGTAAAATAGATTTGCAAGGAAGATATCTGAGCTGAGAGGCTATAACTTTCAGGAAAGGCTGAACAGGCTGGGCTGCTTGCTCTAGGTAAAAGAAGGTTGAGAGTTACCTGATAGAGGTCTTTAAAATTATGAATGGGTTGGAAAGGAAGAGAACTTTACTTGTGAGAATATCCAAAAGCGCAAAAATAAAACACTGTCACCAATGAATCAAGGAAGAAATCTGAGAACCATCTTCATCCAGAGAAGCAGCAGTTGAGACAAATATTACAGATGTGTTTAAGGGGAAGCTAGAATTGGGATGAAGAAATGGGAAATGCTGTTAGGATGAGATGAAGAGGAGTCAGAGGAGGCTTGCATGGAGCATAAATGCTGGGTGATATTGCCTGTTCTTGTACTCTAGAGTCCTGTAATTCTACACAATTCTGGATTTCAGTCTATCCTGAGCAATGTTGCTCACTAACTTCCCACTGAGGGTCACAATCCAGAGTGACGGGACATAGGTTAGCATCTTTAGTTCCCATACGGCTGGTTGGATCTAATAGCGGACAGAACAGAATCCGGGCAAGTCCTAGCAGGAATAAAGCAACCAATTCAGGGCAACACACTTTATAAAAGACTAAAAAGCACTTAGGAGAGGGTGCAAAAGAGGTTTGCTAGAATAGTATCAGGGTGAGAGACTTCAGGCACGCAGGAAGATTAGGGAGACTTAAGTTGCTGTCTTTAAAACAGAGGAAGTTAAGAGGACATCTGCTAAGAGATTTTCAAAATCGTAAAGAACTTCAATCAAGTAAATAAAGAGAAACTGTTTCCAGTAGCAGAAATACCAGTAACCAGAAGACACAGATATAAGACAAGTGGCAGAAGAAGCATAAGGATATATGAGAAATTCCTTTTGCAGCAAGTGGTTATCATCTGGAATACACTGCTGCAAGTTGTGAAAGGAGGTTCAACAGTAACTTTCAAAAGGCAATTTACAAATTATTGAAAAAAAAACTAATATTGTAGGCTTAGGCAAAAGAACCAGGAGGAGGGACCACTTGGATAGCTTTTTGAAAGAGCTGCTACATACATGATGGACTGAAGGATGTTCTTTCGCACTGAGAGATTCTAAAATTTAGGATCAAACATGGATGTTTCTTTTGGTCTTGGGGTCTCCTTCATCAACCCATCTCAAAACAGAGATTGCAAGTTACAGGTACCAGAAGAGTGGAAAGAGAGGCATGTAGAAGATTAGCAGAACCATTAAGTGCAAAGCGTACAGAGGTAAAAGGGAAAGCAACAGAGAAAACAAAAGTCAGATTTCTTCTTTTACATCATGGAAAGGTAGCAGCCGGTAGAACATGTGCAAAGTCCAATAGCTTCATCTGTGCAGAGAATGTAGATAGGCATGAGGAGGCGAAGAGTACCTGCTGGGCTGTCGATACCATCTGCTGGATACTCCCCACGGTTGCTTGCTGTTGAACCATTTGTGGAAGTTTTGTAACCTATTGAACAACAGCAATTTATTTTAATTTTTTCACCCTTCAAGGTTTCCAAGCATGCAAGATTTCAGGCACTTTAAAGCATCATTTCTTCTGCAGTCTTCGAGTTAACAGAGGAATGTAAAATTGTAAAAAGAAAGTAGGGCAGTGTTAACAAATTACATTTGTCATTCTGAGGGGCCACTGACAAAGAGCAAATGGTAGTGCTGGGTCAGAATAAAGCTTTCTTATGTAAAATAAGAGTATAACCTGGCTCTGGAAAAAAGCAGCGTGAGAAATACACCATGAGTCTCGAACAGCAAGGAACAAAACCACTTTGTCTCAATGTGATGTGTAATGGTTAAGGAGTTCTGTCGTATTGAATGGTGTCAACTTCATCAGGTTTGATATACACTTGCATATGTGAATAACAGGGTGAAGTGCAAACTCTTGTTATAAAACACAGCCACTCTTCCAGTCACCTGCAAACTGAAGGGACTGGCTAAAGTTTCCAAACTTTAGAGTAAATGAATAATGATTTTCAACTTACTAATCTATTAAAGCCACTTTGTTTATTAAACAACCGTGCGACGAACACACTCGAGGTATCAGCTGAGGATGAAGAATCCTGTTAAGATAATATTCATGTTTTCACCAAAAAGGATCAGGTTCAGGGCAGTAAATTACGACTATTGGCCTCCATTCATAATACAAGAATGAGTAGTCTATGTCTATTGACTTAGTTTTGCAATACAGAGGATAGTCGTAATAAAATGAGCAGCAAGATGCTGCGTAATTAACTGAGATTCAGACACAGGTTACATACTCTTACAATTCACTGAATTACTTACTTGCTGGTTATTAACCAAGAGTTTCTTGTAAAGATGGAAAAACAGACATAAGCCTCTCAGATACAGCACTGCCTGCAAAATGGATGTTTCTTGCCAATCTCTAGTGCCCTTAAGGTGGGCCTTTAGGTGGCCCTTAAGGTGGACTGTAGCAGCTTGAGTGATTTGCTCAGCCACTTCAGATGGCTGGTGCAACACTGGAGTTGTATATAGGCTCAGATTAATTAAGGATGGCAGATCTCCTTTCCTAAAGGGCACTGGTGAACCTGTTGAGATCTGTTTTTTTAATTTTACAACAATCCAGTAGCATCACAGTCATTTTTGCTCAGCATCTTTACTTTTCCAAATGATTTATCCTACGTTTTAAATTCTCAAACTGCTACAGTGGGATTTGAAGTTGCACTTCCTAGCTTATGGTTCAGTAGCATAACCTGTGTTACGCTGTAATGCTTGCATTAGTTACCTGAATTTGTGCCTGCATCTGTTGAGTTCCTGTAGGCTTCTGAGTCTGAGCACTCAAGAACTGTGGCTTCATTCCTGATTGGAGCTGGGCAGTGGTATAAGTGACTTTCTGTTGCTGTTGCTGTTGTGATTGAACTGTAACCTGTTGAGTTATCTGAAATGGAATGCAAATTGAAAATTAGCACAGCATTGTTTTTACCCAACTTGTGCACCCTAACTACACTGCTGCAGAATAAGCCTGCTTTGGTTTTTAAAATGTCAACGTTACAGATGATATAGGTCTATGCTTTCTGAAGTCCAACTCCCACCCATCACCCAAAAGCGATATACAAAACTCCGAACGATCACTGCCTCCCCTCTCGCCCCACTCTCAAACTCTCTCATCTCCACCAACAGTAGTGCAAAGCAAAATAAAAACTGAAAACATGGCAAACTTCAGAAAGTCAGGCAGCATCTGTGGAGTGAGAGAAACAGAAAGAAAGAAAGGCCATCAACCTGAAACCTTAACTGTGTTTCTCTCTCCAAAGATTGTGCCAGACCTGAGTATTTTGAGAATTTTCTGTTTTTGTTTCAGATTCCAACAACTGCAGTAGTTTTGCTTATGTTTTGAGGCAACTAAATGTTTCATATCTTCACTGATTTTAGTTCCCTCTTCATCAAAGGGCATTAACCCCATGGGTGGCTGGACATCACATCCTTCCCAGCTCCAGCAGCTTTAAGTGTATTACTATATGTATTGACCCTGAAAGCAAAAGTCAGCATGCTAGGCTGGAACACCATGTCCCGGTGCTGGCATAGAGTCATAGAGTAATACAGCATGGTAATACAACAGGCCCTTCGGCCCAAACTGGTCCATGTTGACCATGCTGCCCACTCAGCTCGTTCCAACTGCCTGCATTTGGCCCATATCCCTCTAAACCCTTCCAATTCATGTACCTATTCAAATGTTTTTTAAAATGTTGCTATTGTACCTGCCTCAACCGCTTTCTCTGGCAGATTATTCCACATACGCACCACTCTGTGTGTGAAGAAGTTGCCGCTCAGGTCCACCTTAAATCTTCCTCCTCTCACCTACGCCCCTTTAGTTTTCAATTCCCATCCTTGGGAAAAAGACTATATGTATTCATCCTATTTATGCCCCTTATGATTTTATACACTTCAATAAAGTCAACCCACAATCTCCTACGTTCCTAGGAATAAAGTCCTACCCTGACCAACCTCTCCCTATAGCTCAGGCCTACTAGCCCTGGCAACATCCTCATAAATCTTCTTTGCACACTTTCCAGCTTAATTATGTCTTTCCTATAACAGGGTGACCAAAACTGTACACAATATGCCAAGCACGGCCTCACTAACAACTTATACAACTGTAACATTACATCCCAACTCCTATACTCAATGCCTTGACTGATGAAGGCCAGCATGCCAATTGCCTTCTTCACCACCCTGTCTACCTGTGACACTGCTTTCAACAAACTATGTACTTGTACCCCTAAGTCGCTCTGTTCCACAACACTCCTCAGGACCTTACCAATTACTGTACAAGTCCTACCTTGGTTTGACTTTCCAAAGTGCAACATCTCACACTTACTTGTATAGAATTGCATTTGCCAAACTTCAGCCCACTTCCCCACCTTACTATCAACGATACATCCTAAATTTGTATCGTCTGCAAACTTATTAATCATGCCTTGTACATTCACATCCAGATCATTTAAGAAAATAGCAGATAACAAAGGTCCCAGCAAAGACCTCTGTGGCACACCACTAGTCACAGGCCTCCAGTCTGAGAAACAACCTTCAACCATCACCCTCTGCTTCCTACCATGGAGCCAGTTTTGAATCCAAAAAGCTAGCTCTCCCTGGATCCCATGCGACCTAACCTTCATGACTAGCCTGCACTGTGGGACCTTGTCAAAGGCCATACTAAGTAAACACTGAGGAGAAATATTCATTAAAAATGTCCCTCATCTCCTGTGGCTCCACAGATAGACAGCCATGGTGATCTTTTTGCTCCTTTGATCTCTTTCTTAAGTGTAGTCCCACATTTTTTATAGTCATCTACGGATTCACGAGCCCAATAGCTTAAACCCAATATAGGCCTTCTTCTTTTTCCTGACCAGAGCCTCAATATCCCTAGTCAGCCAGGGATCCCTAAACCTGCCAGCTTTTCTCTTCACCCTAACAGGGACATAATACTGTCCCTGTACTCTTGATATCACACTTTTAAAAGCCTCCAATTTGCAAGTCATTCGTTTTCCTTCAAGCAGGCTCACCCAATTGACCGCTGCTAGATCCCACATAATGGCCCCAAAGTTGACCCTGTTCTGTTTTAGCACCTTAACCTGTGGACCTGTCCTATCTTTTTCCATAACTATATTAAAACTAAGAGAGTTATGGTCACTGGATCCAAAGTGCTCTCCAAATGACACTTCAGTCACTTGACCGGCCTTGTTTCCTAAGAGAAGGTCCCGTATTGCACCCTCCCGAGTAGGGCCCTCTACATATTGATTTAGGAAACTTTCTTTGACACATCTGACAAATTCCACCCCGTCCGGGTCTTTTACACTTTGGGTGGCCCAGTCGATACAGGGTCAATTAAAATCTCCAACTAATACTACTCTGTTGTTCCTACAGATATCTGCAATTTCTCTACACATCCGCTCCCTGCATCCTCTCCGGAACTGGCAAACAGTCAGCAGGGGCAGGAGCCCTGGATGACCTTCTCCTTCTTGAGTGACATCAGCCATCTCTCTGCAAAGACCAGGGCAAAAAAGTGGTTGTCCATTCAGAGGTACACACTCTCAGGTACCTGCTGACAGCATCCCGCTGCTGTCTGAGCATGTTATAGCCACCAAGCATCACTTCCTCGTTTTGTTAAGCCTCCATCATCCACCCATCCAACTTTCCTCCTTTATCTTCTGTGTTCACTCTCAATTTAGCCCTCACTTGTTGCCAGGTTAAAACTGTTGGGTTTTGGTTTCCACTGTCTATATTTGGTTTTCTTTCTCTCTCTGTAACTGTACTTAGCAACGGTTTTGATTTCTGAATGTGATTCTACTCTTGATTTAACCTGCTTATTTAGGTTTCTGTCCGTCCAGCTGGTTCTGTGCATCCTCTTCCATCCACATCTCAAAAGCTACAAGTCTCCTCTCCTCTCATCTATGAGACATGCATACCAAAAAAAAGTTCACAAATTGCTGATGGTGAAAACTCAGTGAATTATTTACCAGGCAGGGTGTGGGAGAAGCAAATATAAGTTAAATAACCAATAGTCATAGAGTTTTTGTCCTGCCTCTCCCCAGCAACCCCAATAACAATTTATAGAAAGTATTAAAAGGTAGGACTTGTACCTTCTGTTGTGCAGTGATTGCTGCAGCCTGCAAAGCTGCTTGTCCCTGTGTCACTTGGGCCTGGCCTGCTTTCTGCTGCTGCTGTTGCTGTTTGAGTTTCAGAAGCTGCTGTACTTGCATTTGTGAAAAGTGCTGTGGTATGGCTGTCTTCACTACTGTCTGCCCTCCTGCAGAGAGTCAAGGTAATGGTTATGGTCAGGGAATGTTTGCAAATCTGAACAAGGCATTTACGTCAAAACACCAACTGAATATAACTGAAGTGTATTAATTTCCATCAAAATATTTCCGAGGCACTTCTTAAAAGGATAAAACACACATTATGACAACAAGTGCATGAATGAAGTTAGTGCTAAGTTCACATGTATCAAGTTAGGAGAGGTTAAGAATTTGGAGATACTTGCAAATGAGGAGGCCATGAATAGTCAGGGTACAGGGCTAAAGAAAGAGGTCTGTGTTTTGGGGGGAGAGCTCTTCCTAGGACTACAATTACCCCACATTAATGCAGGATTATGCAAGCAGCATCATTACAGTGTGAGGGGAGAGCATGGGGACGGAGTGTTTGAAAATATGAATTGAAGTTTGAGATCCAGAAGAATGTCATGGAATTAGGGGGAAGAAGTCTGATGGTTGTATTGCAGAGGCAGAGATCTGTACAACTGCAATGGATTCAATAGCACCAGTGAAGTGAGGGTCTGAAACAGGTTCCAAATTAGGCAGCAACAAGGAGGGAAGACAGAAGTATGTTGTTTGGAAAGCTGGGAACTGAGCACTACTGAAAGGGCATTAAAAGGGAGCAGAGTACTCCCACAATCAGATGCATCATGCACTGCTGTGGGGATTGTAAACAATCTCCTAGGCTTGAAATACTCTGCTTACTTAAGAAAATATTGATGATTTACACTTCAAGTGTTCACGCATGATTCCCTTTGGAGAACACAACATGAGGAAGCCTCTCATGAGGCAGGTGGTTAAAACTACACCGTTTCCCCTTCATGCGTCTCTCAGAACTGGAGAAGACGTATTCAGTATTGGACATATCTCTCCAAAGGCAATGAACACTTTTAAATCCCATGTAAGCAAAGTCATTTGTCTGTTTCCAATTTGTTGCTTTGGTATAAAATCATAAAATGCATGATGCAAGGGGCCATTCAGCTTATCAAGACTGGGCCAGCTCTCTGGTAGAGCTATCCAATTAATCCCAATCCCTTGCTCTTTTCCCATAGCCCTCCAAATCTCTTCCCTTGAAGCAATTACCAATTCCTTTTCTAAAGTCATTCCTGAATCTGTTTCCACCATTCTCACAGACACTGCGTTCTAGATCAGAATAACACGCTGTGCAAAAACAAAACATTTCCTCATGCCACCTCTGGTTCTTTTGTCAATGAACATCCAGGTATGCTCACAAACCCTCTTCTAGTGGAAGGAACTTGTCTCAGTTCTACAGCTGTGTCAATCTAAACAAATGAATCCTATTGTCCTTCAAACAAGTTGATAATTCACAAGAATTTGCTTTTCAATTACCTGTTGATCCTTTCTGAGGTTGACTAATAGCCACACTGATTCCAGCAACAGTAACCGGAAGTGTCGTTACACCGGAGGAGACTACCGCGGTAGGGACAGACACAACTGGTGGTTTGGTGAGTGTAACCTGGGCAGTCTGAGCTGATTGTGCCTGAATCTGTCCCTGAGCTTGTAGCTGTGACGTAGAAACTCTAGCCTGAAGAAAACAAAATAAAAATCATATGTTTCGGAAAAATCTCAAAAATAGAAGTCTCACCGTCTTCAATGACACAGACTATCAAGAGACCAACAAATGTCACATGAAACGCAATGTGTAGAATTCCAGTACAGCTACAATGATAACATGAACCCTGTTATGGCACCTCATGTAAAAGATTTCTTCTGTGGTAGCAGTTGAGGATTTCAAGCTTACATGTGATGCTGAAACGAACACAAGTATATGTAAATTAATATTGTAACATTTACCTGTTAAATAACCTTAGATAAATAATCAATAAACTTAGCCCTATATAAACACAAAGTGTCAATTGATTTCTCTTTGCTTTCTCTGATTCTTTATCACTTCGAAATTAAGTTTTTTAGGGTCCTTTCTACTTGAAAAACTACATTGATTTGACAGTGACATTGAGACTTACTTTACTGACTTCAACAGGAAACTATTTCAGGCATCGTACAGAATATTAAAGGAAAAGAAAAAGCTATTGAAATGCACTGAAGTTAAGTAACATTTAACAAATAATAGAGACTGATTCTTAGAAGAGTACTGACACAAAACAACGCAAATTTAGAGATAAATAAGGAAGTTTAATATTGTGAATTATGTAATTTTTGGATCTTTATCACAGGTTCACTAGGATGACACCCAGTATGGAGAGAATGTCTTATGAGCAAAGGTTAAACATGTTGGGGCTCTGCTCACTGGAGTTTAGAAGAATATAAGGTGATCTCATTGAAACATCTATTCTTCAGGGGCTTGACAGCTTAAATGCTGAGAGAATATTTCCTCTCATGGATCAAAAGGTATAGTCTCAGAATGCTGGGGTGCCAATTTAAGACTGAGACAAAGAGGAACAACTTCTCTAAGAAAGTGAGTGTCTTTGGAACTCCTTGTCACAGATAATTGTTGGAGCTGAGTGCTTGCGTATATTTAAGGCTGAAATTAGGGAATCAAGGGTTATGTTGTTGTCTCGCTCGCCAAGCTGGCTTGTTTTCATTCAGACGTTTTGTTACCATGGTGGGTAATATCATCAGTGAGGCCTCCAATGAAGCGATGTTGTTCTACCCTGCTTGAAATTTATACTATCTGGCTAAATTCAAAAACCTGTTGTCTTAGTTAAAAATGCCGCTTGGTCTGCTATTGGTACAGCCTTTCAATACAAATCTTTCAATCCGGGTGCTCTCTGTACTTGCAAACTTTCAAGCCGCTCACAGACATCTCCAAGCAGAGAAAAAAAACACAACCTTTTAAGTAGACCACACAATGCTTCTTCCCCTACAAACACTAAATATTAACGCCCTGCCTCTCAATCCACAAATACTCGACCCGACTTCAGAACACCTCCCCCCCTAAGTAAAAAACCCATCATTATGAAAAGATGGCTTCGTTTTTTTCTTCTAAAACCTTAATTCCATTAAATTGCTTGATCCAGAGGTCATTAATCTAGAGTTACATATTTTACACTAATTTCATTTATATATAACATTGAACACTACTGTTTCTATCTTAAATAAACATTTTTCTTTTAAACCTGCAATAAAACACCCGCAGCAACATTTTCATGACCCCCAACATGTACCATTTGTAAATTAAATGCTGGTAACATGAGACTCCAATGAAATAATCTGGTGTTCTTGTCCTTAAATCCTTCCAAAAAATGTCAAAGCACTGTGATCGGTGTACGCAATCGTCTCTGATGCACTGTTTGCAACGTAAACATTAAAATGTTGTAAGGCTAGAACCAAACTTAATAATGCTTGTTCAATGGTTGCATCTCTTTCCTGGTGGATATGGAGTTTTTTTTAACAAATAACCAATTGGCCTTTCAATACAACAATCATCCCCCTGTAACAACACAGATCCCAACCCTACATCACTTGCACCAATGGCGACTTGGAAGGGTTTCAAGAAATTTGGCATGGCTAAAACTGGTGCAGTGATTAGCACTGCTTTTAAATTCTAAAATGCCTCCTGGCATTGTTCTGTCCACTGAAATTTTGTTTTCTTTCTTAACAAATCCGTCAACGGTGTCACCACGCTACTAAAGTTTGGCACAAATTTCCTGCAGAATCCACGCAATCCTAAAAATCATAGCACCTCCTTCTTCGAGGATGGTCTTGGAAAATTCCTTGATGGCCTTCATCTTCACATTTCTCAGGGTCATCTGTCCGTATCCGATGCTGTGCCCCAAGAATGTCACTTCTGCCTTCGCGGATTCGGATTCTGCCAAATATTATGATGAACTTTGCCTCTCAAACTGCTCTACCGAATGCTCCATATTATTTTTCCACGAATCGCTAAAGATTACTAAGTCATCTATGTAGATGGCACAATTAGTCAATCCTGCAATAACTCTGTTCATAAGCCTTTAAAAAGTGGCTGGTGCATTCTTAATTTCAAAGGGCATTACTTTAATTTGATACAGCCCATTTGGGGTTACAAAAGCAGAAACATCTTTCGCTCTCTCCAACAAAGGTACTTGCCAGTAACCACAAAGTAAGGCCAACTTTGTGATGTACGCAGTTTGTCCTCCACGTGCTGCACAGTCCTCCAGCCTTGGAATTGGGTAGGAGTCAGATTTGGTCACAGCGTTAACCTTCCGATAATCCATACCGAATCGTTGAGTACCATCAGATTTGGGAACCAACACAATTGGCGAACTCCGCTCACTTTGACTCGACTCGATGATGTCTTCTTGGAGCATCGCTTCCACTTCCTTCTCTACCTGCACTGCTTTGAGAGGATTAATCGTGTACGGGTGTTGTTTTATTGGAACAGCTTTCCCTACATCAGCATCATGTGCTATTTGCATTAGTCCTTCCCATTCCATTTCCACATATATCCTCATAGCACTGTCCCAAGTCTTTCAATTCAGTTCTCTGTTCCTGGGACAGACAGCTCACTACCCTATCCCATTCCTTAAGGGTTTCCTAATTATTCAATTTCTATCCCTCATGGAATACAATCGCTGTCAGAAGCTAGATTTCAATTTATGTGCTCACGTGCATTCAACCACCATCTCAGCTGCTCTTCTCGCTGTTTTAACTTTCTGTTCCTCAACATAAGTTCTTAGCCCTTCTGGAAGTGAGTTTCTAAACTCCTCCAGCAGAATAGCATCTCTAGGAACCTCATGTCTTTTCTATCTTTAATCCGTTCATCAATCTATCGAAGTTGCTGTGGTTAATTCTTTCAAATTCGATACACATCTGACATTCCTTTATCACGTTTCTGAACCGTTGTCTGTATGCTTCTGGTACCAATTTGTAGGTACTCAAAATAGCTTGTTTAACACCTTCATTGTTTCCTGACACCGCCTCCGACGGCACTGCAAACACATCACTAGCCCTGCTTACCAACTTGGTGTGAATTAACATTACCATGTACCCTTTGGCCAGTTCATCTGTTTAGTCAATTTCTCAAAAGGAAATGTAAAAAGTCTTCTACATCTTTTTCATGGAATTTTGGTAATGTTTTGACATATTTGTACATATCACTTCAGGTCTTTGGCTACAATGGGTTTGTTCATCATCGCCCTCCTCCTCACTAAGCCTATCTTCTACTTACATTTCCATCATTTTAAGTCAGCTAAACTGCCTAATTTGCAACTTCCGAAGTTCAAACACTCTTTTTGTCTTTCCACTGCTTGTAACCACAATTCAAACAGTATCAGTTCCTTTTCAAGCTGCTCATCTACAACTGAATCCTAGCCATTTCCAAAGATTATTATGGCATTTCCAGCAAATGTAAGTGTCGGGGTGTTGCTGTAATTACCTCTTCTTTTCTCACAGACAAAGTCAACCCCAACTCCAGCTTGCCTGCCGCTTACAGCAGCTATTCCTTGTTTACCCTTTGTAAAATCCCCAAAGTCATTTATTCCAGCCCCAGGAAACACTTAGTGACTGAAAGAGGCATGACCTCACTTTTGACTTAACCAACAAAAAGCAACCAAAATTAAATAGATTGTCCACTTCTCACCTACGTTTTATTTAAAGATCCAAGATACTAGCCCCCAAGAACATTTAAATTTGCTGGGACCTTTCGCACCTTAATTCTGTTTAAATCTGTCCAGATCTATCCAAATCCATCCAAATCCCGGTCCCAATCTGTCCCAACCTGTCCAAATCGTGGAACTGAGCTGGCCAAATCCCAGACCCAAGCCCCCAGTCTGTTGGAGGTTGACGACCGCCCCCCACCCCACTCCGAGAGAAAAAGTAGAAAAAACCCAAACAGGAGCACCTCACCCTATAATATATCAAAAGGGGTGTGAAAAGGGTGCAATCCGTCTTTCAGCAACTTCTAGTGGTTAAATCAAATAAATCCTTGACACTCACTTCACAATCAGCAAGTAACAATTTATTTAACTCTAACAGTAAACAAATTAACTAAACTATTAACAAACCAAACAAATCCCTTCTAACTACTAACTACTTACTACTTCTGAATAATGCAAGATTCTAATGGTACGCTGTTCCAATAAATACAAGTCCCACTTGTATAACAAAACAATAGAATTTAGTCTCCTGAAATTCCAGCCAGGTTACATCTTCCAGAATGTTCTATGCCTTTTCCGTCGATTCTTCGGTCAGGAATGCTTTCTCTGAATTCTTCTGTCAAGAATCCTAGCTAGGAGTGCTATAGTACCATTTTGAATAGATGGTGCTTTCTCCAAGAGCGAAGAGCAGTTATGTCTAGCAGATGGCAGTTAGCTCTGCTGATCTTCCAACTGCTCCCTTCTTCCATACTCCTGATGACACATCAATTTCTTACAATCAGATTGGTCTTAGGTTGTCAAAACCATCAGATTCAAATTTGATAGGTTTTTGTTATCTAACTGCCTGGTTCAAATTGATTGAATTAAATGAAATTCAAAAACCTGTTGTCTTGGTAAAAACGCTGCTTGGTCTGCTATGGTACGGCCTTTCAATACAAATCTTTCAATTCGGGTGCTCTCTGTACTTGCAAACTTTCAAGTTGTTCACAGACATCTCCAAGCATAGAAAAAACATAATCTTTTAAAAGGGACTACGCAATGATCTCCCCCCAGCATTCTACAACCACCAACATTTTACAAATACCACATTCTAATGTCCTGCCTCCCATTCCACAAATACTCTACCCAACTTTGCAACAGTGATGAACAAAGATGGTGGGTGAAAGGATTTTGGAAAGCTATTTTAGGTACAGACAAGCTGTCACCTTGATCTTTGTTCTGGGACTTTGGAGTGCATAGATTTTAGAAACAGAAAAGAAAGTTGGATAGCTAAATTTAAGCTTTTCTAGTAACATTTCCAATTGTTTACAACAAAACCTTGGTGGCAAGGAAGGGATAGTTAAAACTTCACAACAGAAGGTCCGAGGGTTGAGCAGCAGGCTTGATCTATCTGATCCCCACCCTACAATAAATGCACATGTTTCCACTTTAGCTTTGGAGGGTTTGGGAACACCTGAGTACCTACATTGGTAATATAAGGGCTCTTATTTACAGGAATAATTTGCTGACTTTACATTTTTTATCCTACTTTTATCCTTTTTATCTCCTGAAGTTCCCAGCCTGAATACTGACCTGATGCTATTTTATGATGTGTTCTTTTAAATGCATATTTACACAAAAACATACAAAACCATTTCCTTTAACTTCATTTACTGACAAAACCGACTTATCAGGAAGATCGCATAAAGTTCTGAGAAACGCATTGTAATGATTTGTGTGAGCAATGAACCACAATCACACAGCAATTGCTGTATTTGTGATAAGGGTACAACTTACAATGCGGGCAACTGGGAGATTGGTCACAGCACCAGTGAGAACAGTATTCCTTTGTGTCACCTGAGCCAGCTGTTGTTGCTGCTGCTGTTTCTGCTTCAATTTTATTAACTGATCCTAATGAGGAAAAAGACTTAACTGAATTCCATCCATTTACATAATGACAACCAACAGCATATCACTTTACAATGAGGAACTCAAATTCCCAACAAGCAAGAGTAAAATAGCAAATGCAACTCATAAGGATCTTTCTAACTTGAAATGGATTAATACTGCAGACATTCACAATTGCCATAGGTATAAAAGTAAGATGCACGTAGAACTTGCCAAGCTTTGAACACAAATATTAATAATTATTTATAAGTCCTCAAATGACAGAAAGGGAGAGAGAAGAGAAAGAAGAAAGAACTTCCACAACAGCCGCATGTTCCAAAGTGCTATACAGGCAACGATGTACAGTACTTGGTGTAGTTCTAATACAGAAAATGTGGCAGCTAATTTACATTGTGAGAGCTTGCTCAAACAACAATGTGATCATGACTAGATCATTTGCTTTAATGATGTTGATTGAGGAATAAATGTTAGCTTGCACTCTAGACAGAATTTCGCTCTCCTCTGAAATAGTACCATGCCACCTTCCACCTACGCAAGACAACCAATGGGGTCTTGGGTTAACATCTCATCTCAGAAATGGAACCTCAGTACTGAGGGAGTGCTGCACTGTCTATCAATGGCAAATATGGCCTGGATCTTTTGCTCAAGTGCACGGAGCGGAACGAAAACTGACAGCTTTCTGAGTCAAAGGCAGTGAGCCATGGATGAATATTGATGCACAAATATACAAGGTGCTCATCTGCAGTTCCATCTTCTACATTAACCCACGTACACAGCTCAGGGGTCTCCATGAAAACATATCTTTGTGGTGACTGTATTGAATACTTGTATTGTAGGGGTTTAACAGCAATAATAGCTGTCAAAGTCAAGATGTATTAGCAATGGAAGTAGACATAAAAATGAAAATTGACCATAACGTTAAAATGTTTTGATGAAAGGTGTAACCCAAAGATTTCTTTTCACTGACATTTCCAGATGTTGAGGGGAGATGATGGCATTGTGATAATGTCACTGGACTAGCTATCAGAACCCCAGCTCAATGTTCTGCAAGCATGTGTTGAAGCCTACAATGACAGATGGTGAAATTTGAATTCAATCAAATCTGGAATAAAAACCTACCCTTAAGCAATCATGTAACTACTGTCAACTGTCGTAAAATCCCAGCTAGTTCACTAATACCCTTCAGGGAAGTAAAATCCACCATCCTTATCTGGTCTGGCCTACATGTGACTCCAGACACACAGCAAAGTGGTTGACTCTGAATGGCTCCCTGAGCAATAAGGGAGCAACAGTAAATGCTGGACTAGCTAGTGATGCCTACCTCCCATGAACAAATGGTTTAAAAAAGTAAGGTGCAACTGCAATATACGTTGGTTCATGTAGTCAAAATACAACAAACACATATCTTTTTGTGTATTTCAGACAGTAGCTGAGAGCTTAGACTTACCGGCAGTTTCTGGACTGTCTTCAGCTGGGCTGAAGTTTGAGACTGAGGCTGGATTTGTTGGACCTGTACTGGAGCTGTCTGGGGTTGCCTGAAGAGTTGTATTTGTGCCTGGGAGATGGGCTTTCCTGTGGTCAGTTGAATGCCTGTAGCTGAGGATATAAATGCAAACCATCAAGGCACGCTGATGGCAAAGACTCTGTCAGCTAGAGTTTTATTCATTGTCATTAGAATACCATTAAAACCAAGAGGAAATGTATAAAGTCAAACAATTTTTCTAAGTGTCAGTTCACACATTAAACCAAGCTTTAATTAGCATTGTAATCATCTACATCATTCTTACCATTTTCCTAACAATGTTGAATATCTTCTAAAACATGGGCCTAGATTATTACTGAGATGAGATGGCTTCAGGAGCCCTTTAAAAGGTGTTGGGGGGGGGGGGGGGGGGTCCTAATTTTCCGATCTCATTCAATTAAGAAACCCAGATGTGTTTTTTTTTAAAAAAGATAAGATCAAGGAAAGCACAGTAAGAGTGTCCTTTCTTTTGCAATGTCACTTACTGGAAGTTACATGTCTTTGGCTAATTGTTTAGATTTACTGGAAGTCATGTCTCTGAACGTATAACTGTCAGGGCTGTGGTCATTTGATATTGTTTTGAATTTCAGTTTAGCACAGCCTGTGAAGACACAAGACACCCAGGTCAGCCTTTATAACCTTTCTAAGTATCCCAAGTGAGAGATGCAATACCAAGACAGTTATTTCCCAGAAAGGCTTCCAGAAAACTGCCTCTTCACATCCTTAATGCTGCAGCTAACATTGTCCCAGAGGGACCACTACCCATGTCCAGTGACCTATCTACCTGTATAAGGACATCAGTTATTTGAGAAAAATATAAGAAAACTCCTTCGTAACTTAATCTAGCACGTTCCGTAAAACATAAGCTGTTTCCAAGATTAACTAAATCGCCAAACTAGAAACAAATCTCCCACATGCTTTCCATGACTGGAAACGTCACCTCAGGAACTAGTGAGGGTTCTTTTTAAAAGGACTGTAGTGGCTTGACACTCAGTACATCTGTCTGAGGGATAAAAATATTTGTGCGTTGAAATCAACACTTGGCCTATTGCTGTGCTCCAACAACTACATTGTTTTTGTGAACATCTTCTAATCTACTACAATTTTGACAAATTTGCATTCATAGATGGCCTTTAAATGCAGTAAAACATCTTACAGCACTTCACAAGTGGTTAAAATTAAATTACCGTCTGAACCACACATGGAGCTATGAAGGCAGATGACCAAAAGCTGGATCAAAGAGATGGGCTTCAGGGAGTGACATAAAAGGAAGAAAGACGTCAAGAGGTTTCGGGAATGAATTTATGAGGTGATGACCCTTCAAATTTAAGGTAATACACGATCCACCTTTAACATGCACTTAGAGTTAACATAGGTAATTACAGAGAAAGGCACTGAAAGGAACGAGCAGACATAGATCAAGGTTTATTTTGTACACATGTAGAAATCATTAAATTATTCAGTGATACAATTGTGAATTCGTGGCATGACAAAAGGCAATAACTGTCCAACCTGGGGTGACTTGCGTGACCAATGACCTGGTCTGGGACTGCACAGGAGTCAGGTTGGTAGTCACCACTGCTGCTGCTGTGGCTGTCACTGGGGCCATTGCAGCTCGGACACCCTGGTTGGCTGCTATGGCTACGACCTCTGTGGTAGCAGCAGACGTGGCCACGGTTCGCTGCTGAGCATGTACGACCTGGGCTGTTGTACCCCCTGCAGACTAAAGACAGATCAGAGATGTTAACACAAAACACCGTCCCTTCGTTCATCACACTGGGTTACACAACTGCTCTAATTTTTCATTTACTGGCTTTAAAGGTAAGGAAATGCAGGAGTGGTGTATAATGGGTAGCTGATCTAGAACACAGAATTGTACAGCACAGGAAAGGGCCCTTGGGCTCATGTTGTTGTGCTGGACATGATGCCAAATTAAACTAATCCCTTCTGCCTGCCCTTGGTCCATATCCCTCCATTCCTTGCATATTCATGTGCTTATCTGAAAGCCCTTTAAATGCCCACATTGTATCTACCTCCACCACCACCCCGGCAGCATGTTCCATACTCCTACCACTCTCAGTGTAGAAAACATGCCCCTCACATCTCCTTTGAACTTTCCCCCTCTCACCTTAAAAGAATGTCCCTCCAGTATTAGACATTTCAACTCTGGGAAAAAGATTCTGACTGTCAACCCTGTCTACATATCTCATGATTTTATAGACTTCTATCAAGTCTTCCCTCAGCCTCCACTGGTCCAGAGAAAACAACCCGAGTTTTTCTAGCCTCTCCTCATACCCTCTAATCCAGGCAGCTTCCTGGTAAACACCTTCTGCATCCTTTCCAAAGCCTCCACATCCTTCCTGTAATGGGGCAACCAGAACTGAATGCAATACTCCAAGTGTGGCTTAATCAAAGTCTTATAAAGCTGCAATACCAGCATTTTTGGCATCTCATACAGCTGAATTGTGGGGGCAGACACTCATCGTAACAGGTCACACCATTGTTGTGGCAAGCCCATGCTCACATTCTCGGTCCTCATCATGGTTCTCCTGCACTGCACTGAAAGGTGTGACATATGAAGCCAATGAGAGTATTCATCCAAAGAGGAGCAGCATTGGCTACATGAGGATCAGAACACGCAAGGAAATTACACAGTCAGGGGGCAGGTGAAATTTAAATGTAAAGAAAATGCATATTGCATCACATGAGGACAAAAAGATAATCCAGGAATAGATTAATACATAAATGGAAAGAGTATAACTTGCAATGAGAACAAATAAGATCTGGGAGTCCTGATTGAAAGTCAATTGAAATCATTTGCATCAAAAATTTGTTGTAGCGAGTAAGGCAAGTGAGATGTCAGGATGTACTGAAAGGTCAATATTGACCTGAAACAATGAGCTAATCTTGCCCCTTTATAAATGAATGGTGGAGGCAGACTTTAAACCATATACACACTGTTCTGATCACTGAAGTACAAAATAGGATATTAGAGTAATTAAAGAAAGAGAACAGAAAGGACAGATTAGATTATAATGGAGTGATTACATCAAGTGGTACGTTCTTCCGGGAGAGAAAAAGTGATTTAAGTATACACTTCAAGTGACTATGTAGTGAGCTGGTCCACTTTGCCCAGACAGTAAAGCTCGAAGATACATCTTGCACTTGAACAGGGAGAAAGTAAATTCAAATAATCTCAGGAAATATTGGGGACATTTCTTGGTCTCTTGGAAGGGAGTTAGGTGGGGTTGGCAGCAAATTTTAAAAACCTTGCAAGAGGGTTCCGTGATGTGGCTTCCCATTCCTCATAAATCTCCCAAATGT